GAGTAGTAAGTAGACGAAACAAGTCGAAGTGGTATTCGCCTCCGATCCTCGGGCGCGTGCGAATAGGGAGGATGGAATTGCGTAATATTGTGCACACTCATCAGAACCAAACGCAAATTCTTCGAGATAACCATCATCCGTCGTCTGGCTCGCCGTGGCGGTGTCTGAGGTATCTCCGATCTGATTTACGAAGTGTGCTGAAGGTGTTCCTGAAAAATGAGATCCGTGATGTTGTCACCTACACTAAACACACCAAGCGTAAGCGGCCATGGATGTCATCTACGTTTTGAAGTGACAGAGACGCACTCTGTTTGGTTTCGGAGGTTAAATCATCACCAACTTTGGCAACAAAATGGCTCTTTTCAGGGCCACCAAGCTTATTACAGTAAAGAGTAGGAATAGAATTCATCTGCGTGTTTGTCCATATTCAGAACCAACGATCACACAAAATGCTCATGTAATCAAACTGAAAGGAGGGGTACAAATTATTTTGATCAACCTTGATCAACTTTGAATCGCCACGGCCGGATATTTTCGATGGAAGAAGCAACAATCTAGCATCTAATTCGACGAAGACGGCAGGAAACATTTGTGAAGCCGAGTTATTTACGAAAGAGAGTGTCGATGAAGAGAATCGATCAATGCAGATAGGACCTATTGAAAAATGACGCGAGATTTGTTTTTCGTACTGAGTATAGTCGCTATATTCATAGTCTGGCGGATATAATCTCGGGAACCAATTGAGCTGTCAAATAGCAGAACCAATAGAGCAAATCACGACCAACAACAGAAAAGAGCACATCATCTATTGCGAACAAAACTTCGGAAAACGCTTTTCTCGTGACTCAAGACTCGCCTACGCAAATTAATACCATCTTTGGGTTGGGGAAAGTCTCCCCTATCCGATGATGCTGGTAATTTGCATTCTATTGGCGAGGAAAGAATAATCAACGTTTTGTTAATAAAGTTGATAGCACCTTTTCAATTGTTGGTCTACAATATATTGAATTGGTCCCGCTTTTTGATAAATCGAAATTCTATCCGCCAGACTATGAATATAGCGACTATAGTACTGAGCTCCAATGCTACCGACGCCAGGGAGGCAGCTCCCACACCTGGACCCTATCAATCGACCCATCAACTCAACCGGGGACCAACGGCTTTACTTTCCGAAGGAAGGCGTGATCAGAGATGCTATGCCTTAGAACATGCCGGTGGCGCCGACTGAGATTGGACCCAGGCCTGCTAGGGTGAGAGGTAATCACGCTAACCACCGGCGCCGATATCTTTCAAGGTGATATCACGGCGAATTAGATCGTCCAAAATTTGAGTTCAGTTGTCTCAGAAATAAGAAATAAAGTGCAGGGACTCAGCGATGAGTAAATTTGCCTCATGTTTTCGCAGGTTTTTCCAGGATTTTCAAGGGAAAAATTCCCGAATTTGAGAAACGTAAAGATTGGATTCACTCAGTCTATTGGTACTACTCCGAGACTGAATAAAATTTTCGTCAATTTCCTCATTTTCTGGCAGATTTTTTAGGTTTTCCACAGGAAACCATGAGACAAATTTACTCATCACTGAGTTCCTGCACTTTTGGCGATTATGAGTGAACTAAACTCAAATTTGGGTCGGGCTGAAAGTTTCCTTAATAAAGATATAAAAAAAAAAATCAAATTTGGGTCGTTCTCATTCGCCGTGTACGCAAAAGGAAAAGAGCCAGTGTCGCTACTTGATAGCAAACTACTCATAATGGGAGGAGTCTTTGTAGCTTTTATACCACTTGGTTGCACATCATTCTGCTTTAACCTGAAAAGATATAAAAGAGCGCTGCTGTATGGCATTAGCTCATTTTCGCTTCGGACGGCGTGGTGAACACCAATAGCAGCAGTAGGAAAAGGTCTGGTAAAGGAGGCGCCAAGCGTCATCGCAAAGTTCTTCGAGATAACCGCCATCGGTCGTCTGGCTCGGCGTGGTGGTGTCAAACGTATTTCCGGTCTGATCTACGAGGTGTGCTGAAGGTGTTCCTGGAAAATGAGGTCCGTGATGCTGTCACCTACACTAAACACGCCAAGCGTAAGTGGCCATGGATGCCCTCTTCAATAAAACGGCCCTTTTCAGGGCCATCAAGCTTACATCAGTAAAGAGTTGGAATAGAATTTATCTGTGCTTGTTGTTGTATTCAGAACCACAAGCCCCCAACGACCACACAAAATGCTCTCCAGAGTTGTAATCTTGTAACCAAACTTGGAAGCAGGGGTGCAAGTGATTTTGATTGATTCTCTTTGAAAAAAAAATACTACAAATTTGGTACGCCTACAATTTAAAAACGGAAAGAGTTGAGGTAATAGATAATTGATCAATTAAAAGAACTAAATGCTCTTCACATTTATTCCGTCCACTAGCGGTCCTACGTCAAGCTTCCGTTCGTGCCCCTAGGCACAGACCCTTCTACTTTTTTTATTTAATTAATATTTCTTTAATGGATAACTTTGTCAAGCAATTTTGATGTGACTTTATATCAGTGAATTTATATGAAAAATGTTGACTACCTTCCTCTTGTGTTGCTAGAAGAAATAATCTATTTTTTTGTTTCTCACTCAAACATATAAACAAATTATATTAGGGTAACTGATGGTTGGACCTATTAAGGCCGGTTTCACACGACGTCAACATTCATGTCGTATTTTTTTTTATGAATTTAACATATAATTATGAAAAATGCGTGATTAGGGGAAAGATCTACCTTTTTTTATAATAATAACATAAAAAGTTCAATATTATGAACAAATGATTTTATAAAACGTTTTTATTCAGCAAAGAATTATGATGTTGGTTGGACCTATACTGATCTTGGTTGGACCTAAAAAATGATGATGGTTGGACCTATTTTTGCAAATGCTAGTTTAGTCCATATTTGTTCAAAAACTTTGTTTAGAGCTTATTGGTATCATGAGAAAACTCTCTTTAAACAGTTTTTATGAATTTGCTATTGAAAAAAAATATCAATAAATTTGAGTTTAACTTCGTTTTTAAAAAAGTTCACTTTCCACGCATTTGCTATTCATCATGGCTCATTTTCTCGGAAATCATCAAACCGATTTCGAAATTTTTTAACGTCAAACTATAAGTATTGTGGTCCCATTAAAGCTATCAAATATTTTTGTAATCGGTCAACTGGTTCCGGAGATATGGCCAGAACAAGTTCCAGGGTATATGGAACATGGACCTAAATTTGACATGGAAAGAATAAAACCTATCATGTGACACTTCACATTACTTCGAAATTCGATTACAAGATCAATAACAAAATTGATTGCCTTGGACCACATTGGCAACTTCCGGGCATGTTCTGGGTGCCCCCGGGGATTTTAGGGGCTTAAAATGACAGAATATCAGAACTTAATTCCGGTTTTATAGTTTTTTTTTACTCCTAGGAGTTTTTTTGTTCGGAAATATGTTTCAGTTAGCAATTTTTAGTTTATTAACATTTTATTTCAAGTTATTTCACACACAGAAGGTGTATGAGAAGTGCTTAATGTAAATTCATATTAACAGATTCTTTCGGCGCTTTCGTGGTAGTTCGGAAATCGGTGGTTACCCTTTCAGCCAACCTGGAACGATGGAATTCCTCCTTTAAATTTACGCCCAACTAGTGACGCAAGGTCTTTAGCAGCTTCCAAGATCTTTTTGGTCGTCTTGGGACTGCCAGAAGCAGCGCACATACAAACCCAATCCCCTAGCTGGCTCTCCAAATCAACACTCAACACTATTTCCCTTTCATATTTCTTGCCGTGGCTTCCCTTAACTTTTGCGTGAAGTGTCGTTTTCGGAATATTGTACCTTTTCTTTGCCTGATACGCGGAAAGTGATTCATTTCTTACTAAAAGAACAGCCTCTTGAAGATTTTCGACCGTATAACTCTTTTCTTTAGCCATTTTTTTCAATCGAAGAAACTGATCACTCGGTCAAAACAAAATCGAATTTCAAATCAGCTGCGCATGAAGGATGTAGACAAACCGAAGCGCACCTAGCGGCCGTCTTAGGAAACACATAGGTCCAACCATAATCATATTTATCTACTCGAATTTCGTCAATCATTCAAACATTTTAGTGAAACCAATGGATAAATGGCGTTTTAACGTGTTGTTTACACCTTAAAGCAGTATTTTACTGCATGAAAATAAAAATAAATGCACAAAATATTCCATCTTTGTATGTTTGAAAGTAAGGCATGATGACGAGTTAATGCGTGGAAAGTGCACTGTTTTGAAAACACATTGAAACTCAATTGTTTTGAAATTTTTTCAATGAAAAACCCATGAAAATTGAAGAAAAAGAGTTTTTTTTTATAATAGTAAAGTGATCTTTGAAAAAAAAAAATAGCGAAGATTGACTAAACTAGCGATTGAAAAAATAGGTCCAACCATCATCAGTTTTTGGATAGGTCCAACCATCATCAGTTTTTGGATAGGTCCAACCATCATCAGTTTTTGGATAGGTCCAACCAGAATCAATTACCCTATTTCTTATAAACTGAACAGTTGGTACTAAATTATGTTCCTACCACCCACTTGAGCTTCGCCATGCAGCGACCTTTTCATATTTTTTTTTCAACTTAAACTTCGAAAAAAGAGCGTTTTACTCATGCTTGCTATAATTTATTAATCTCACTTCCTTCAAATATATGGTTGTCCCAAACTTGCTTGACTGGGTGTTTCTTTGTGTTAAGTCATTATAAAATGAAGTACAACTCCCCCAAAGCCAAATTCTATATGAATTATGCATAAATGAGCTACTTTTCGTGATTTATCAAAATTACCCATACAAAGAAACGGTATTTGATGAACTAACATATAATTAAATAAAAAAGTTCCTCTTGATCAATCTCTAACCTCAATACATGTCCAATGCGCCTGTTTAAATTTTTAAAATCAATCGATCGTATTTTAACCGATGAAACTATGTCTAAATATTTTCTCACATATCTATTCCACTTCCAGACACAACCAACCACCGCTTTCCGGATCGGGAGCAACCTCACTGACGCCACGGCGAGGCGAAGCACCACTTTCACCCACAGACACCGACTCCGATTCGGACATTTCCCTCGGAACGCATTCTCCCGTTCCGAGCATGTCGCTGCAGCACAGTCCAAGTTCGCTGCCCGGTTCCAGCGAGGATCGCCTCCAGGACGAACGGGACCGGGAGAAAGATTTTCGCAGTTTTGCATCGCTTCATTCGTTCCGCTTTGGGGACCATCTAGCGGGAGGATTTCTACCTGGTATGTATCTCAATGGGTCAACAGAATATTTAATTCTATATGTAAAGTTTTGTAATTTCATTCTGCCATCATCGATGGTGAATTGGTATATAGCAATTAACGAAAACTTTTCGCTTTCACTTTCAGGCTCGTTCAACAACAGATTCATGCCTTACCGCCTCGGGGACAACTCACCTCCAATCAATACTCACTCACCACCGATAGGCTTGACGCATCTTCCAATCACCCCAACTGTCCTTCGACCGCAGCCTCACTTACCTCCATCGCTATCTGTCACAGCACCGACGGCAACGACCACATCGATGAGTGAGTCGCCCAACAGCAACAGTAGTGCCACCACCAGTTCCATCAATAACGGTGCTAGTGGACTGGGAATGGTTTGCGGAAATAGTGCTGGTACACCGCTAATGGCACAAATGTCCCCACTCAGAATACGGGTCAGTTCGCCGACGCGACTCAACTCGGACCTACTACAGCACAGTTCACACCATCAGAGTCTCATGAACGGGTTGAATGCCAGCGGAATCGTACGGATTGTTCCTAACACAACGACCAATCTCATTCATCGGCCATTTTCACCATCGCCCAAACCGAAGGAAGCATCGTGATAAAATCCACCGTCGCTTCAATTGCAGCCATTCGATTGTCGAGTGGCCATCTCTTAGTAGTTGATTAACGTAGCGAAAATATCGGGAGAGAACTAGAAAGCACAAGTTGAAACTAAAGCATATAAATCTCCTTAAACTTGTTACTAAAGCCATACAAACAGTAAAGCAAATTCAATACTTTTAAGTAAGACATTTTAATACGAAACGCACTGCTTTGGTAAATTAGATTTACTTTAAAACTTTGGCAAAATCACGTCATATTTATTTCATGTTCTGGAATGCTGCTACATAATGTAGCACCACATCCAGCGTCTCTATATATAGAAAGGAAAAAAAAAACATCATACCCTTAAGTATACGAATCCTTTGTGTGTTGGGCGGATCAATATCAAACTGAATACCAATACAAACTCGAATCGACGACGGGCAAATAGCAACACAGTGGCGCACATGCGTAGTAACTAACTGCTAGATGGCAACACTGCTCAATCGACAGACGACCAGATGTGCAACATTTCCCTGCTACATAGTGTGACACAGCAAAAAGTAATCGCACAACACACACGGCCATTCAGTGGAATTATAGGAAGCAATTCAACTCCTGAATTTTCCTCACATACTTGTAAAGCACAATTCGTTCGTATGTAGTCATTAGCGCAAAGGGCGAGAACAGACTTTTATCAAGTCGTAAAAAATCAATAAAAAGACGTGCATGAGAATGTAATTTAAGCATAGAGGAAAATATTTAAATGAATTCTAATATAAAGAACGTTGTGTAAAAAAATCAAAGCAAATAAGTAAAATTAATTATCGTATTAAAGGCGTGAAGCAAGCGGCAAATAGGTGAACACAACTTGCAGGCAAATACAAAGAGAAACCTAAAACAATATGAAAGTATATTTAGCAACACAAAAGTACATATAGTTACGCATATGTAGAGGTAGCAAAAGGAAAAATAATTGATCTAAAGTAGTGCTAATTACTCACCGATCGACCGCCCGGAGACGACGGCGGACACTCTGAGCGAGTGAGAAGAGACGCATTAAACCATTTCACTTTTCCACGTTTAGTTCCATCGCCGAGTCACTTAAAACAAAAGACGCAAACCACTCGTCGTTCGCACATATAATGCAATTTGCAGCCTCAGACACAAAGCCAGTGCTGGAAACACACCGAAAGAGAAGTTTAAATTTATTTTTTATGAGAATGAGAAACACAGCCCTACCAGCAAAAACCCGACAAAAATCGAAACCATTTGCAGGCGAGCAGGCGAAATAAAATCATTTCAGACCTCATGCAACGTGAATAGGCAGAAACTAAAATAACAGAAGAAGCAAAACACATGCAGTGTAGATACTGGCTGCGAGTCTCTACATAGGCAAAGAGTAGTATTCAATGCACAGGCAAAACACAGCAAAAAAATAAAATACCATCAGTAGGGCAAATCGCTGCTGAGACTGTACAAAGATAAAAGGGCAACACAGTTTATGAACTCGGCTACCTTCTGATAGATTGAAGTTAAAGCTAAGCGTACAAGTACGCCACCATGCGCAAAATGAAAGCACACAAATGGAAGGGAAATCGAACAAATCTATCTACTTTGTAAATAAATTGCTGCAATCAAATTATATTAATTATGACGATAATAAATTAAATAATTAAATTGAATGACCAACCTGTTTGATCTTACATATCCGATAGTGCCCCTTAATGCGTAGTTCTGTCCCAAACTTTTACGAGTGCATTGTTTCGAAATTGCAAAGCAGTGCAAATTATGCTCCATTGAAAGCCGAATCAGATTCCAGCTCACAATCACTGACTGTTTGACCACCACACCACATGGGTACAGAGTAATATTGTATCCACACTTCTAACGTATTGTTTTCTAACAAACGATTAAGTTTAGGACAAATATGCCATCTGAAAATTAGGATGATATTTTTTTTTTAATAATGTATCTTGAAATCTGTTTATACGTTTTCTAATGTTTTCATACCTTTAGAAAAAAAAATAATTCCTCAACTTCTTAAACCTGACCAGACTGGTCAACCTCAGCATGCCTCAGTTTGTACCCATATCTGGACAACTATGCAGCATGTCAGTTTTCTTCAACTTCTGCTTAATAATTGGTCAAAAAATGTCGATGTGGCGGAATTGAACGCAATTAGGTGGATTAATGTTCTTGTACATGAAACCCACCCTGTTGTCACGTTACATACCATATCAGTCAGACTAAGGCGTCTCCATTTCACTAGATTCATGGCTGCACGTCACCAACCTCTCAGTCTGTGAAGACTCCACAGGTCGCCATCCACCTAGTCGATCCACCATGCCCGCTGCGCGTCTCTTCGTCTCGTTCCAGTCGGTTCGTTATCGAGAACCATTTTAACTGGGCTGTCGTCCGACATTCTTACAACGTGCCCAGCCCACCGTAGTCACACGATTTTTGCGGTGTGGACGATGGGTGGTTCTCCCAGCAACTGGTGCTATTCGTGGCTCATTCGCCTTCTCCACGTTTGGCCTTCTATCTGCACTCCACCGTAGATGACACGTGACACCTTCAGTTCAAAAAAATTATAAATGGCGCGTTAGTCCTCCACGAGCATAGTCCATGTCTCGTAGCCGTAGAGGACTATCGGTCTTATCAGCGTTTTGTAGAAAGTCAACTTCGAAGTACGACGAACTTTATTCGACCAAAACGTCCTTCGGAGTCCAAGTTAAGCACAACTCCCTGCCATAATCGGTGTCATTATCGTCGGTCACCAGTGAGGCCAGATACACGAACTCAGCTACCAGCTAGATTTCATCCCCGTCAATCCGAACTCGTGGTGGGAGGCTATCATTCTCATCACTTTAATCTCTACCTTTAATATATTATGTCATCGATGCATTAATGACTAGTCTAATCCGTCATGGGCAATGCCAAGAAGCGAACTTCCTGAAAATCGTACCACTCGTGTCTATTCCCGCTTTTCGGATCACACCAAAGCCCATCACCTTGTCGTAGCCCGCTTCAAGGTTCGAAAGGACTCGAGAGTGTCCCCGAAACTCAAACAACGCACATCACTCGATCCAACGTCGCCCTCTGACCAATCACGTCAGGTTATCTGGAAATCTGTATTCGTGCATAATCTACGATAGCTGGTCTTGAACGATTGTGTAGTAGCGTCTGCAAGAAACTGTTGACAGCGTTTTGATCTTCAAGGTGGTGAAAATTTCTTCAGCATTCATACACACGTTTTAAAGTTATTGAAGATGGATCGCGAGAGACTTTTTCAACGTGGTTAGGAAGAATGATTGCAAAGGTTCTCAAATTAAGGGCCTCAACTTCATTTTGTAAACATACCTTGTGAACCGAAACCTACATTCGCAAACCTCAAACACGATCGGGTAGAGGAGAATTTCCCCTACCTGTTCATTTTGTTGGTTTGCGTTGGCGGACTTTGGATCACGATAAAATGGCCTTACAAGGTTTGTTTGCCAAGTGTTGGTCTTGAATTTTCAAAATCGACAGTAAATACCGAGCTTAAACGTTACCGGGAAACACTAACGTTGGATCGCGCAAAACAAACGTACAAGTAGATCATATGACCAGAAATTACAAGCAAACATCATTAGAGCAGTCAAAAAAAAATATGGGATCTTTGTAAGTGATTTGGCCAAAAATGTTCAGTGCGGCGCACAATACAGTTCGGTGAATCTGTATGCCAGACGGATTTCGGTCGTACCATGGCAGCAAACATCTCAAAAGGACGCTGAAACAAAACCTGGTTGGCAAAAAGCGTGCAAGGAAGCTATATGATCAAGTTCTGACCAAGTAGACGGATATATTTCGATAAACGATGAAACTTACTTAAAAATACTTACTTATTACCTTTCGTATTTATTTTTAAACATATACAAATAATAATTAGGCATAAAACAATTAATCATTGAACATAAAATACGAATAGAATTTTATTAGGCAACGGTAACAATACCTTCCATCCACTCCTCCGGTAATAGTGGTAACCACAGTGATTCCCAGTGAAGCACTCTATGCAGTGTTTCTGGGATGAATGACCTTTAGGTTTAAAATCCCATTAAAAACAAAAAAACAACTACATTCCCTAGTGTGGTGCTATAACATTCTCGTCCCGTCATTTCTTTGAGTCAGAGTCGTCGTACCTAGTGCCGCTATGACGCATCGGATGTCCCACCAGCCATCTTCAAGAGTAGCTGCTCTTCCATTGGCAATGCGCTGTGCGTTTTTCCGGGCAACTCTGTGTCGAGAGTTTTGAGCGCATACATACTGCAAGGGAACATCCATAAATGAAGTACCATATCTATTAAATAAATGGCTGGTCACCTAGTACATGGCTGGTCACCCCCGCTAATACATGGCAAACCTTTGATAAAGTCCCACACGAAACTTTATCACCTAGGCCTCCCCACCTGATTCATCAGATGGCTGCGCTCCTACCTCTGTAGCATAACTGCGTATGTTATGATAGGCCCTCACAAATTCAGAACAATGCTCGCGTCGTCAGGTGTTCCTCAAGGAAATCATCTTGGACCGCTTATCTTCATATTATTCATCAAGAATCTGTGCTCGCTCCTCCACTCCGATAAACTAATGTATGCTGATGACTTGAGCTATTCCGAGTTTTTTCATCCACCTTGGATTGTGATGACTTATGTCGGCTCGAGAATTGGTGTAATTTAAACGGTATGGAAGCGAATGCCGACAAGTGTAAAATCATCAGCTTCTGCAGGACTCGCTCGCCGCTGTGTCATCGTAGATAGCAAGCTACGGTTTGCTGAACACATCTCTGCTACTAACGCAAAATTATTTACAGTTCTAGGTTTTATTTAGCGTTGACGTTGAATTTGATGATATTCACACGCTGAACATGTTGTTCAGAGCGATCATATTGAGAGGGTTCAGATTTTTTTTTTCGCTACGTTCTAAGACGTCTCCCGTAGACTATCATGAAAAAGGACAAGCGGCGCCGGTGGTGTAGTGGTAAGCGTGATTACCTCTCACCCCAGCAGGCCTGGGTTCAATCCCAGTCGGCGCCGCTGAAATTTTCTGAATCATAACATCTCTTATCAAGGGAAGTTAAACCTGCATTAGCATGAGATATACAGTCCGTTCTTTATTGAAACCCCATCTCCAACGTCAACTTGACGATTACACCTTCATGGACGGCTGTCAAACAAACTCATCATTCTCAGCAACAAAACAGCATAAAAGTAGGATAACAGCAGCAACATTAAGCATTCCAACACACAAAACTCAACGCATCACGGCCATCAGCAACAGGAGCAAGAGAAACATGAACGGACACTAAAGGGTGATACGGTCAAAATTTGGTCAAGGGAAAACGCGTGTAAATCGGTGAAATCGTTTATTTAAAAAATCAAATAAAATTTCTTTTTCAAGTTCAATTAGTATAAAATTCAGGAAAAATATTCAGTTAGGCTTCCGCTTTTCCAAATCCGAATTGCCGGGCCTTACGCTTGACCCCTGCCATCAGATTTTGTACAGCCACCTTGTCCACCTTCTTCGCCGCAGAAAGCCAGTTTGCCTTGAACTGCTGCTCGCCCTTAGCAGTTTTTTTGGTCTTCTTTAGGTTCCGCTTGACAATAGCCCAGTATTTCTCAATTGGGCGGAGCTCTGGCGTGTTGGGAGGGTTCTTGTCCTTGGGAACCACCTGCACGTTGTTGGCGGCGTACCACTCCATGGCCTTTTTACCGTAATGGCAAGATGCCAAATCCGGCCAAAACAATACGGAACAACCGTGTTTCTTCAGGAAAGGCAGCAGACGTTTATTCAAACACTCTTTCACGTAAATTTCTTGGTTTACAGTCCCGGAAGCTATGAAAATGCTGCTTTTCAAGCCACAGGTACAGATGGCTTGCCAAACCAGATATTTCTTTGCGAACTTTGACAGTTTCATGTGCTTGAAAACATCTGCTACCTTTCCCCTTCCTTTTGCCGTATAAAACTCCTGTCCCGGAAGCTGCTTGTAGTCGGCTTTGACGTAGGTTTCGTCGTCCATTACCACGCAGTCAAACTTCGTCAGCATCGTCGTGTACAGCCTCCGGGATCGCGCTTTGGCCGTCGTATTTTGTTTATCATCGCGATTTGGAGTCACTACCTTCTTGTAAGTCGATAGTCCGGCTCGTTTTTTGGCTCGATGCACGGTTGTAGACGATACACCCAGCTTATTTGCGGCATCTCGGAGAGAGAGGTTAGGGTTTCGATTGAAACTACCGGCAACTCTCTTTGACGTCTCAGCGGCTTCCGGTTTTCGATTTCCCCCCGATCCAGACTTCCTGGCTGTCGACAAACGTTCCCCAAACACTTTAATTACATTTGTAACGGTTGATTTGGCAACTTTTAGCGATATTGCCAACTTTGCGTGCGAGTAGCTCGGATTTTCGCGATGCGCGAGCAAAATTTTGATACGCTGCTCTTCTTGCTTGGACGGCATTTTGACAACTGAAGAGTGAATTCCAAAATCAAAATAGGAGCAACATTCTACACACACACACCTTCAAAATGAGGGGTGTTCAGGTTTTTTAAATGCAAAATTGAAAGAAATACGTCAAGTTGATATTGACCAAATTTTGACCGTATCACCCTTTATCCTGTGTCCTTAGTTTAGTGCATGTCGTATTAC